ATCGTAACTTTTTGGGAAAGAAACTCAACAATTCAATATAACTGCAACGATAGATGCTATATCCACATTCTCATCTTCACATTCTGATGCTCATGAGCATAGGTGTGCCATCCAGCGTTACTGTCACAATGAGTTATTGAATATTCTTTCCGAAAAAGTACGATAGATGCTATAGTTCAAGAAAATGAACTGATTTGACAAGAATCAATAACACATGAGATGATCCAAATAAGTGCTTTACAAGATCTTTTCTTTCGACATTTTTCCTTTCGATATTTTCCTTTTCGGCATTTTCCGTCAATCCCATCTGAAATAAGGCGAAATCAACGTTTTCCAATCTTGGTATCTGTTCGATTTTAATTTCAATTTACGCGCACTTTGATGATGTCTTTAGTTTACTTATTTATCGACATATTTTTATAGATGAAGAAAAAGTTTTAAAAGGTTGTTTATTCATTACCCACTGTGATAGATTAAATGCATACAAAACATGCAAAATAGTGTTTGTAAATCTGATATCTATAAAAATAATAATAGAAAATTATGAAAATAGTTTATATTGTTTATTTCAAAAAGATATCCGTATGTAAACTAATCTAAATGATATATATATATATTGAACGAAAAATAATCCTTACTGGTAAACATATTAGAACAAATTACATGAATATTTTTAACAAATATGAAATCAAATTGTTTTATCTTTTTTCATCTCATATTTCGCTTTAACAAAAAAAAGGTGTATCTGTCTATTTAATCTCAGATTACTATGCCAACAAAGATGTTCTATTATTGGAAATAATTAATTCAAAGGAAACAATAGAAAATCGAAAAATCTTCAATTTATAACCAGAGTTGATTGTTACATCTGTATGTTGTAATCCGTCATCAGCGTTGGGATCGGAATTTTCTTGTACGGTGAACAAGTCTGAAATCAAAACTTTCCATAATAAAAATCTAGCAAGCTCTAAATTTTTATTCACCAAAAATAACAACTGCAAAAGTATGCTTGTTTCAGTAATTTCTATTTTTCGATTCTATAGAATGATATCATTTTTCACTTTCTCAAAAATATTGTTGAAAAACAATCGTCGCCAATATCGTAGATTTTGTTGTTAAAATTATTGATAAATGTTGCTAAATATCTGGTAATAACATTTTATAACAAAAACAATTGAAAAGTGAAGTCGAATGTATTCTTGAAATATGCAAAACTTACATTTCGTGAAATAGTTTCATAGATTTATGCAAATTTATGAAATACTACAAAACTGAACGATTTTGGAGCAAATGAATAGGGAAGCTACGGATTTTCCAAGTGCTCAACCAATCCAAGAGAATTAAAGTTTTTCTTCAGTCAAAAAAAAAACTCTGATTCTTCATTTTGATCTTGTCTATCAGAGATCCGTGAAACAGCTGAAAACTGTTGCTCCACCAGGTCGCCAAGTATCTAGCTACATTATGAATAAATTTTGAATGTTTTACACTGGTCATTTCAGGGGTACTCGATGAAGTATTACCACTATCTTGAACAGTTGAACAAATATTTTGTGTTATGTCAATTATATTAGATGAGAGACTAAATGAATTTCACGTACACATGTTACTTACGTAGAATTAAATTTAAATTGTTAACTATTTAAGGTGAACTTTCAGAGCAAGATTATTGCCTACAGTCAATTATAGAAATAAAAATAGGAGACTAAATCGCATAGTTATATGTATGTATGTATTCTTATCTTTGGTGACAGTGTTAACACTTAAAGAATATCTAGAAGAAAATTGACCCATATCGTTAGAATTCTTGTCTTAAACCGCGGCAAGGCTGTACAATACAGTGGTTTATGGATCTCTATTGCCTATCTCGGACACTAAAACCATAGTGGGTACCTTATTTTCACATAAGTAGTGAAAAAATTTTAGTGGTTTCTGGCACAGTTGATCGTTGGCCTATATAAAATGTTATTTACTATTGTCTTTATTATTAAAGCAAATATACCATAAAGCAGAAAGAAAAATCATGTTTCTATTCTTCTGATTACGGCGATGAGTCTTCAGCATAGATATCTGCTCGATGCTTGTTTCGAGCATTCGTTTCTTCAATAGAAATGAAAAGTATTTCTTTCATGAGTGGCTTGTGATAGCAGCATCGTTATGAGAATTATCATTGTGTTTATGAGTCTATTTATCTGATTAGAAAATTATCTTAAAAAATACCACAATTAAAACCTTTCCAAGGTCATCTTACTTCAGTCTTGGATGAGTAGAGTTGACTTCAATCGACCGCTAGCACCATCAGTAGTAATGTGAATAAGGTTTTAAAGATAAAGAATGATAAACTTTATAGAAATCTAATCAAATAAAGATACTACAAAACTAGTAATATTGACAAAATGTTTTATAAAGTTTAAGCATAACGCTGAATGAAAAATTAATAGTGTCGAAACAACACTTACAGTGTAAAAATTTTGTAGGATAAACATTAACTGCAAGGATTGCAGTCTTTTCTTTTTCTATTATACTGTTGTTCATAAACAGATTTTACATTTTCAATCATGAAAAAATATTTTATAAGCATCATTGAATTATAAAATGTGCAACACAAACATTTTCCTATTTTTATAGAGACCTGTCGACTCGAACAAATGAATTCAAGATGAAAAAATCGAAAAGTTTCATTTTTTTTACCAACTATTGAGAATTCAAGTATTTGTATATTTCGATAGTTTTCAAAGGCAATTCTACAAGAGCCGATCCTTATGTTTTAGAGATTTTAAATGATGGTCTATCGTTTGTAGTATTTACGTCGAACATCAAAGTTTTACTCCAAGTCGACACCATTTGATGTGGGTACATGTTTCGGTCAGTCCGTTCTTGAAAAATAATTGCATAATGAACATCGTATTACTAAAATATAATGTTCATTATTTTTTCTGTTGTAAAAGTATTATTATTTATATTGTAATGCATTTTCATCTTTGTAAATAATTTAAAAGTTATCTCATCAATTTATATAATTGCTTCAATATTCTATTTAATTTGACACTAGCCTGTTATGCTTAAGAATTTTGGCATCAATGGCAAATATGAAATGATTACTACATTTATATTTGCATCGTGAGAAAAAAAATTATTCGCATAAATTTTTTTCATTGAAAGTGATTAAGAAAATATATCAATGGTTCTGCCATAAAAAGGTTCTCTGTACATGAACAGACAAATTATCTCTGAATTTGATGACTTTTAATAATTATTAATAAAAGCGTTTTTTTTTTAATTAATACTTGTCGCATGAGTAGCTGCATATTTAATATGATGTGACATAAACAAAACCAAAGAGAAAGAAAGGCAGATCATCTGGAGAAAGATTATATTTGTTTGACATGGTAGTTTTTTTATTGTCATAAAAACTTATTAGTCGACACAGAAATACCTTTTATCAAGAGATCAGTCACTTGGTGATGCGTTCGTTAGTTTTATTACGTTCTCGATCCAACCAACGTAAAAGAAAAATAAAACTTCGTTCAAGAATTTTTATTTAGCATGTTTTCTTACGAATAATCAATAATGAGCATCAAAGATTTACAAATATGAATATAAAAACTATTAATATATTAATCAATTGTGTTTCTGTCCTGCTCCATATTTTGTCAATGATTATCTCAAGCACTGTTTCTCTTCTTGTTATCTATCGTTGGAATTTCAATCGACATCATCGGCAACGTCCTTCATTTATTTCAATATCTTCTTTCGACAATTCTGTTTCATTATTACTTATTGGAAACACTTATTTTATCTTGTTTTTCTATAGTGCAACATGGCTTTCAGTTCTTGTTCATACAATTGCTGGAGACTTCTCTATTTTGAAAAACTTTCTATATCTTGAAGACTCGATGGCTTGTCGATTACGAGTTGCTATGATATTTTCATTGACAAGTGCGCTCTTTCATAGTTTCTTACTTCATGCATTATGGTGTTTTTTCAAAGTTATATTTCATTCTATATTCAATGTGAAAATACTATGTTATTTCTCATTGCATCGTGTTTATACTTATATTCTATTAATTTTGATTAGTTGGTTTCTATCACTAGTTATTGTATTACCAGCATGGACAAAATTAAATGTATTCTCGTATTTTCCTGAACAGTATCATTGTCTGATATCATTTACAAATGTTCGTGGTTTTATTTATTCATTATGTAGTACTTATGTAATACCTGTACTCGTGATAATATATATTTATAGTCGATTAATTATCTTTATACGTCATGGATACAATTTTAATCATAGATCGCGAACAAGACGAGAAATAATGATTGTTAAACGTATTTTAATTATTTGTGCTATTTTAAGTTTGTCTGGAAGTCCAACACTTGTTTTTTTATTTCAATTTATAATGACAGGTAGACTTCATCCACTTGCCGATCGAGTTCATGAACTTGGTCTGGCTATTAACACGAATATCGTTACTTTTGGCTTTGCAATTCTTAATTCATTGATTAAACTTTTGCCTAAAAAATTTACTCATCGAAAGCAACCTCAAACAAGTTACAGACAGCCGAAAAAAGTTTTAAGCGACATAATGCCATGAAGTATGCTGTTTTCAATGAATTTAGATTTATTAGTAATTGAAAATTGTTTTGCCATTATATTTTTTATAAATCGTCATAAAATTTTTGAATTATTAATTATTTAAAAAATTTGGTCACTTTTTTTGTTTGCTTTCATAGGTATGAAACATATCGAATGGATTGATTGTAAAAGAAATATGTTAATGTGAAATAAAAACTATTGACATCATGCCAGGAGAATTTACAAATGACTAAAATCTATTAAAATTAATATATTTATGTTGATCAGAATTGAATTTTACAATTCGTATTCTTTGGGGAGACAATTTCTTTTTGTAAGAGAATGTATCCAATTCGATTGCATTTTCTATATTGATATATCTATTCTAGTAGTAGCTGAAAACTAACAATATAGAACAAGAGATGATTAGTGTTTTTGTACAATGATGATTAAAAAATTTTCTTATAATGTGGTGATATTCATATCTGAATAATAGAATATTGTTCATTGTTCTGATAATAAGTCAGTTAAAACATTTTTTATGCACAATATCTCGATAAAAATTATGGTTTTTTTTTTCTATTCATTCATCTCTTTAATATTTTCCAGACTCGATACAAACTGTTAAAGAATTCAAATATACATTTGGAATGACTTGCTATTTTATTTTGTTTTATAAAACATACAGTAAAGTGTTCACAACGGAAAATTCAAGTAAAATATTTTATTTCCTTTGTTTTTATACATACGTGGTTCAATAGAGCTTGATCTGCTGATTAAGAAAAGCTAATTTTTAACTTTTGTGAACACCTTTGTCATATTAAAAAAAAATCATTTTTTTAGTATTTTCGAAATTTTCTATTCTGTTTCTTTTTTGTTGAACTTCTGCAACTTATTTCTTCAAATTCAGCAACAGAAATTAAGTACGAAAATGTGATTGAACCGAATATGATCTAAAACCTGTGTTGATAGTGGCAATCTCAATTGGTTTTATTGATATGCTTATAGATCGAGTTTTGTAAATCTACCTACGTAGTTTTCTTTAGTGTCAATG